TGTGGATCATAACAAACTATGGATAGCCTTGAGAAGAATGGGAATTCCAAAACACCTCATTGTGTTAAACATTATCCATCTGTATGTGGATCAAGAGGCAATTGTGAGAACAGAACAAGGGTATCCTACATAGTTTAAAATCAGGATAGATGTGTGTCAGAATTGGATCCTCTCCACCACATTTATACAATCTGTATGCTTAGAAAATAATCAGGTGAACTGACATATAAATAAAAATAAGGCATCAGGATTGGAGGAGGGCTTATTAACAACCTTCAATATAGGCAAATGACAGAACATTGCTTACTGAAAATAAGAAGGAATTGAAACACTTGCTTTTAAAGATTATGCAGTCTTTGATAAGGATTACAACTCAATGCAAAGAAGACCAAAAACCTCACATCTGGATCAATTATAATAAATGGAGGAAAGATTGAAGGTGTGAAGGATTTTTTTCTTACTTGGATCCACAATAAATGCTCATGGAAGCAGCAGTCAAGAGATCAAAAGGCATTTTGCATATTTCTTTGAAGACTAAGGTGCACCTCACCAAAGCCATAGTATTTTCAAATGCTCCAGATGGGTGTGGAAGTTGGACAGGGAATAAGAAAGAGAGAAGAAGAATGGATACATTTGAACTGTGGTGCTGGAGAATATTGAAAGTACCATGGACTGCTAAAAGGACAAATTGATGTGTCTCGGAAGAAGTATGGCCAGAGTGCTCCTTAGGGGCTAAGGTGGTGAGGCTTCGTTTTATATACTTTGGGCATATACTGTCAAGAGAGGCCAATCCCTGGAGAATGACATCATGTTTGGAAAGATAGAGGAGCAAAAGAGAAGGGGAAGATCCTCAAGGGGATTGACACAGTAGCTGCAACAATGAGCTCAAGAGTAGCAACAATTTTGAGGATGGTGCAGGGCCTGTGTTTCATTTTGCTGTGCATAGAATCACTATGGGCAAGAACCGACTTGATAACACCCAACAACATCATCATCAACAACAACATATATTGGCTAAATTAATGATACGATGAGAAACCCTGGTGGCATAGTGGTTGCAAATGGGCTTTGAACTTCAAGGTCAACAGTTCAAACCACCAGCTGCTCTACAGGAGAAAGACAAGATTTTCTATTCTTTATAAGTTTTACAGTATAAGAAACTCACAGAGGTATTTCTGTCCTATCCTATAGGGTATCTATGAATCAAAATTGTCTCAATATCAGTGATTTTTGAAATCAATAAAATTATTTTATGCCCCATGGGGATGATTTATGTTCTTCAATAAAATTATAATGGTGTCTCTAAAGTTGATTATGGGCATATATGTCATAGATATGTCAATGGATTTTAAATTAAAATTTAATCATAGCCCTAATCTAAGCAAACTTAGTTTTCATGATGTGGCCTTCATTGATACTTGACCTCATAAAGCGATCATTGAAGATATGGGTGCCACAGCAAAGTGTGGTGATGAAATCTGATGGTGCACAGCTATCAGAAAGAATAGGGTCTGGGGTCTTAAAGGTTAGTCTCAAAACAAGCAGCCATGTAAATGAGGTTTCAGCTAAGTCCACACAATAGAAGCACACAAGTCTGTGGGGCCAAGGAATGTAAATAATAAAATATAAGATCAGAGCAGGGAACTCTATTAGAGCTTTAATTCTGAGCATCCAGTATGCAGAAAGATATGCATGACAGTGAAAGCCCAAAATCCATTTATAAGGTTTGCATATAGATTAAGCCTCCTGAGAATTTCTAACCATTGAGCAGGGATGTGAATAGCCATGCCCAATGACAGAATACCTTGGAAAGAGGATTAATGAACATGTAGTTCAGCTTAATATTTAAGACCTTACCATTTGTTCTCCCTTTTGACCTATTTAAATTTTTTCCTGATTTTTATTTATTTTCTACTCTTCTGAGTTGAAGATTTTTTCCCCTCTATTTTCTTTTTTGTTCTGTGTGTGTATATGTGGTTTTATTTATATGAAATTTGAGAGGCCAATACATACAGAAAATAACTGGATTAATAGATTTTTTAGGGTTATAAAAGAGGAAGTTCATGGGAAATTTGGAGTATAATTTTATGAGTATAAAATGAAGAAAATTTTCTAAAATTGATTTTGGTGATGATTACACTGCTCTATAAATTAGTAAACCAATGAATTGTATGGTAAGTGAATTATATGTCAATCAAACAGTTATAATTAAACACTTATGATTCAAAAACTTAATACTTAAACTTATAATTAAATTTACATTAAATTCTGATATACAAAAATTTAAAAATAAAGATGGTTGGAAACATTCAAATGACAGGATACAAGATTAATGTGCAAAAATCAGTCAGATTCCTTTATACTTGATTTCTTATTTTATCAATTTTAGACGGAAAAGTTGATAGAATCCATAATTTTTTAATCACTTTAGTGGATGGGTGTAAATTGGAGTGATAGATCTATTAACTAGATTTCCCTGTCGGTGTACAGATATTACGATACCATCGATAACATCGCTCTTTAAGATTGATTTTTGATGATGAATGAGATACCATTCCCCTCAAATATGAAATTTCTAGCATTGTAACACAGATGGTTGTAAACCTCAAAATTGCCAATACTAGTACAAATCAACTCACTAATACCTAGAAGATTGATCTTTATGTGTTCCATTTTATTTTTGATAATTTCCAAGTTTCCCAAATCCATGCTTCAGTACATTCTACCTCATTCATAAATGTTTTCATTTGTTTCTTCTCAATGTGACCCATTCCCCATCAGCAAATGAAGGTTTGAAAAGCTTTGCTCCATCCATGACATCCATGTTGACTACTTTGAAGAGGCAGCTCTTCCTGAGTTGTATTTTGAGTGCCTTTCAAACTAAGAGGATCATCTCCCTGCACCATATCTGACAATGCCCTGTTGCTATTCATAAGGCTTTGAGTCTTTAATCCTTCAAAAGTGGACAATGTACTCCTTCTTCCCAGTCTGTTTTTAGTCTGTAAACTCTACTGAGACATATCCATATTTATTGACCCTGCTGGTATGTGAAAGACAAGTGGTATAGTTTCAGCATCACAGCAAAACATAAGCCACCATATTATGACAGATTTGCCAATGTATGGATAATCTTGTGGTTTCTTATCGGTGAAATAAGGCTTTAAGTCATAGAAAACATCAAAAAATATAAAAGAGTATTTATTGGAACATTTACAAAAGCAGCTGTTTATACATAAAAATATTTTTGCTAATGAGTAATCAAAAAAGCAAAGAGAAATAAACAAGCATTTGATGTTTTAACAGGCTTTGCTACTTCTTATTTTAATGATGATGATATGTATCTAACTTTATATCGTGTCAATGCTTACTAAGATTTCCTAATTATAAACCCTATGTGATAGGTGAGAAAAAATGTGAAATGTTGGTGGTAATCTCATCCTGGAATATTCTGACCTTTCAAATTAACTAGTTTAGCAGCGATACTTCACATCAAAAATCATCCTTCATTGACTTCGGTATAGCTGGTTATAGTATCAAATGATATTTCTATACTAAATTTGAAGCTGGTTTTGTTCAATGACATATCTTGTGAAATATGAGGTAAACTTAATTTACCTCACTTTTTTGCAAATAAGAACATCGTTCTGGTAATAATTACATTAATAATTTAATTCCAGTTATGCATAGATTCGCCATGTTCCTGACTACTGAGGTTACACAGTTGAGACAAGGGTAGTAAAAAGGATTGGACAAGATTCAAGGGTTTCTGAGTTCCGTTAAGGCGCTGGCCATCGCTAGAGTCTTAGCCGTAGCCTTGAGAAAACTCCTCTTTGTCTTGATTTCATGCCGTTTAAAAAGGAGGCCGATGTCGACAATCTTCTTAGTTTCTCCTGAATGTGACTTTAATTTCAATTATTATAAGTTTATTTTTCATTTCAACAATTGCATGAAGGATTGTCTGCATATACCCCCTCTCTTATCAATAAATATATTGAAAAGTAATAGGTATGCACAGTTGAAAGGGTAGATTGCCAATAGTAACAACCTTTGTTATATTTCTTGAAGCATGAAGTTTTCATGAGGAGATGGTTAAACACTGGCAAGAATTGTGGTCCAATATTGTTCTAGTATAACTAACACTTTAGTTCTCACAGCACTCAAAATCTATCAAGATTTATATCAGGATTATGTGCTATATGGCTAATTAACAGCTTAATAAGCTTGACCTGTCTCTTAAAACAATGAATCAGGCAAGTTGTAGGGTTCTCCTGTGAAAAGATGTAAATATCAAAAAACATTCACAATATGTGACAGATCTCATTTTTAACCACAAATATCTTTTCCACAACACACAAAGTAATACTACTGTTAAATAAAAACGCTAACACTGTAAAAAGACAAACAACTTCATTGCAATCAATGCATGTACAGCATCACTGTGTACTGATAATCAGTTTACAATGCACTTTCCGCCTTTTTTGAGTCTAACAATGCATTTTGATGAGCTTTGTGGAGATGATGAGGAAGAAGAGGAATTAACCAGGAAGTGGCACGTGAGAAGGAACTGCGTTCTAGGAGAGAGAAGAGCTCTGGCTAGGGGACCTGACAGCGATGCTGATGGACCACCGAGCCCACGAAGGGGTGCGCACCTGTGGGGTGTGATGACGCGGGAGAAGTGGGGAGAGAGTAGTTCCCGTGGATCCCAGGGGGGCATCGTGTAGAATACGTGTTTTGTAAAAGTCCTATATATAATCTTGTGAATATTCTTCGTGGCCTTGATTTCATGCCAGTCAAAAAAAAAGTTTGTTACAGATAAATTTTAGGTTTCTCCTAAATCAACAGCAAATTAATGCTAATTAATTTCACTAAATTATACAAAGAGTATTTCTCATTTCAATAGGAACATGAAGGACTGTCTGCCATACACCACGCTCGGCCAATAAACATATTTAAAAGCCATTGGTTTAGTCAGTTGTCTATGGAGCCATGCTACTCTGTACACAAGGCGTCATCATGCGTCTGAATCAACTCAGCGGCCACCAAGCGGAAACACGGAGAGCCCACTGGTGCAGATACTCGCCAACGTGCTTTACTTCTGGTGATGCAGATAATCCTTGTAACAGTCACAGGAGGTAGATAACATTTCTTTATCTCCATCGCAGAGACCAAGAGCTAATACACAGGGAGATTAAGTACTTGAGGGCAAGGACACATAGTTTATAGGTGTCAGAGGCAAAATTCAAACTCAGACAGTTCTGTATTTCCACCACTACAATCATCATTCATTAGACTCCATGCTGTATTTAGGCTCCAAAAATCATTAACTTATTTGATAAATGAAAGTTCATTTATCATTTTAGACAAAGCTTACTTTTTATTATCAAAATAAAATATTCCTTTCCAGTATATTAACATGTATAAATGCCAAGCATTGTCATAAATGCTTTTTAAAAAATCAGTGTTTTCAATCTGATATTCTGACATATATCTGGCCTATAATGAACTAGTTACTATCCACCAATGTAATTTGTTTAAATAATAATTGGACATCTAATTCCACCAAAAATCTAGAAAGGGAGAGTCTGAGGCCTGTTACTATTCATTTAAAACCATTTCTCTCCTAGCTTTGGTCCCATCCAATCTTTGTATCTTCATTATATTCATGAAAAACTGCCTCCAAAAGTTATTTTCTTGTTTTCTGGCCTAACTCCAATTTACATACATCCTAAAAGCACAAGATACTGTTGAATAAATTAGAAATACTTCTAACAATAAACTTCCTGAAGTTAGTGCTTGTATGTATAGCTCAATGTGAAGAGCAAGTTCAGATACATTGAAAAACACTTTTTAAGATAGCAACTTTTGTACCATAATGATTGTGTTCTGCTTCATTGGGTATTTACCCAGGTTAGAGTTCAATCTGTAGAGAAAAACCTTTGTTTCTCCGTTCTAGCCATGGGATGGTCAGTAAAGCACCAGTCCTAGAATCTTGAAGACCTGGATCTCCAGTCAAGATGTCAGTATGATTTTTAACTAGAAGAATCCCAGGTGTTCCAGGTGCTAGATGAGGTAAAATTTTGACAACACTGGTAGCTCTTCATCTCCTATTGATGATGATGTTCCCCCACTTCCATTGAGGGGAAACCATAGCAGTATCAGGAACAAGTTTTTCTCTGTGTGTGAATGAAGAGTCAGTGCTATGGGTCATTCACTGTGTTTGCTTCGCTTGTGGTAGAGACAGAGCTGGGGTCATATATACATAAAGGCCATCACATCACGATTTCAGATTGTTTTGAGTCTGAAGAGCTTCTTGATCCCCAGGAAAGGCATTGATGGCAACCACATGAACATCAATAACACATGGAAGAGTTTGAACACGGTGTGCCATGGTTGTACTTCATAGAAACTTCACCCTAGATGCCGGTCTTTGAGGCAATCCAGTCTCGATACTTAGTCACTCTTGTGTAGACTCCAGGTTTTTTGGGAAGAGCACATGATTGTCCCCAACTTACTATACCAACAAGGTACCAGATGTCACGTTTATCAGGATAAACCAGAGGTCCGCCAGAATCTCCCTGCAGAAAAACAAATATGCATTTGAAATATTAACTCTGATTTAATTAATTTCTCTTCCACGGGAAGAAAGGGAAATTAGCACATAGAATATAAAGTCAGATGAGGCTCATTATAATGTTTTTCTTGGTTGAGTTAATATTTTGTGCTAAACTCTAAAGTGCTTTGCTTTTTAATAAGCCACTCATGTAAGATAGTTACATTATTTCTGGCTTATAATCCTTACATTTTTTTCTTGCTAGAGCAAATATAGAATGCACAATTTAGAAGCATGCAGTTTATCAAATGTTAAGTATGTGATTAGTATTTATGAGTATAGATTGTAAAGTTCGATGATTTCTTTTGAACGTTAATATTAGCTTGGTTGCAGTTCAGATACCATTTCCTTCTCTCTTAGGTAAAATCTATGGTAAAAATAGTTCAAGGAAACTGACACGAAAATTTCCTGTAAGAGTATTGGCATTTTCTTCAGACTTACCTTGCAAGCATCTACTTTTCCTTCCATGAACCCTGCACACAGCATCCCTCGAGTTATCATTCCATCATACACATCCTTTCTGTTACATACTTCAGTGCTTATGGTTTCTACCCTGGCTTGGCGAAGTGTATTTTGTGTAGGTCCTATTTTACAAAAGAAAAAGAAACATGGTTTTCAAATAAAACTGCATATAAGACATACATTCCTAGGAGCAAAAACAAAGATGATTTTATGAACATTCAATGAATAATTACCAGAATTTCACTCTCCATGTGATAAATGTCTCTGTACAAGGAAAGATAATCCTATATACCCCAGCATTAACTCATATGTCTAGATCTTCAAAGGTCATTGGGTTCCATAAAACTGTGTGCAAGATTTCATGTGAATACATACGCATGCATTTTTATGAGGAGAGAGTTCTATTAGATTCACAATCAAATTATTCACTTGATCTTATTTTGTTCAACTGCAATGTTTTTTATATAAAGAAACTACTGAGGATGGTTCATTGATTACCCAAAAGGTATTTGCGTATAAATCAGGACACAAGCCCATGCAAATTAAGGGGTAATCTGCTATTTGGAGTTATTTCATAGAGAAACAAATACTAGATATATACCAGCCATCTAATGATGTTACAGTATAGGGCCAAAAAGGGAGAAGATGAAAACAGCACATGGACATTTTGATAAGAAAGAAAGTTGGATACTGAGTACAAGGAAGGAGGTGGCTAACGTTTCCTTATTGGTGCTACCTGCGAATCTGAGGTCAAGGAGGAGGAAAAAACATCGAATTCAAATGCAGGGAGTATTTGGAATTTTTAAAATGCAAAAGTGTTCTCTTAAAAAAAAAGCTTGATTAAGGAATATTGGAATTTATCTTCTAATGCCTATCATTGATGAAACCTAAAAAAATTTAGCTCTCACCTTAAATTTTCAAGCATAATATTTATCTTCTGAAGTGAACTCATATCTAGAAATCTTAATATCTAGACTAAAGTTTCTAAATTTCATAGAATTGATGTTTTTAACACCCTTGGGATATAAGACAAAGGAAGCAAATACATATTCTATTAATCAACCAAAATAAAAATTCACAAAATATTCACAAAGCCTTTTCTTGTTATGACCATCACAAATCCTTACTAAAAATTGTTTTACTTAAGTAAAACAAAACAAAACATACAAACAAAATAACTGTTATTATGATTGTGGCTTAAAATTTATGCTAACCAATTATATTCATATCTTGGAGTATATAATTTTAAATTATTTACTCCCCTGTTTTGCCATAGGATTGTATCCCTCCTTACACCACCTAGCACAATCAATTCTTTTCTTCTGTATTAGTTTCTTTCATTTCTCACCCTTTCTCCAATTAACTATGAACTGTTCCTTTTATTTTTTAATCCATAGCCCTGATCCTGTCCTGCACCATATGCACTGGAAACATAAATATAATCTTTATTAAAAGCATAAACTATTTTGTAGAACAGCTTGTTAGATCTCAAGATGAAATTGTGTTAAGTAAGTGAAATTGTAATACTCACCATCATCTACAATGGATCCAAATCCTGTAACAAATACACTTGATTTAGCTGGTAACTTTATAGATGATTCTGGAAGACAGACTCTTTGGACTATACTGGAAAACTCAACTCTAGTAGCAAGCTGGGCCAAGGCAATGTCATTTTCATTTGTTTCTCTGTGGTAATTTTCATGAATGATAATTTTTTTCACATTCCGTTTAACTTCAGGTGGTGTTATAGTTATACCAAAAGTTACAACCCATTGACTTGGGTCTTTATTTCTGCAATAAATAAGTAAATGAATAAATGGATATAATTTGTCATGATTAATTTCATCTTATAAAAATAATTGAGACTGTATTTATTCCCAGCTATTGTAGGGAGGCTTGGTGGCATTGTCAGGTGAGTGTTAGAGTCAGTGGTTTCCAACCTTCCTCTTGCCATGACCCTTTAATACAGTTCCTCATGTTGTGGGGACCCCCCAACCATAAAATGATTTTTGTTGCTACTTCACAACTGTAATTTTGCTACTGTTATTAATCAGGCGACCCCTGTGAAAGGGTCGTTCAACCCCCAAAGGGGTCACAACCCACAAGTTGAGAACCACTGTGTTAGACTCTTGACCAAAAAGACTGGTAGTTCAAGCCCAATAGCAGCTCCTTGTGAAAAAGATGAGGCTCCCTTCCCCATTAAAGATTTACAGCTTTTGAAATCCTATAGAGAATTGAAATGAGTCACAATCAACTCAATTGCCAGTAGACTTGGGTTTTCAATGTGGATAAATAAAACAAAAGTAAAAGTCCTCACAACTGAGCCAATAAACTACATCCTGAAAAATAGAGAAAATATTAAAGCTATCAAAGCTTTTATTTTACTTGATCCATAATCAACACTCATGGAAGCAGCAGATAAGAAGTCAAAAGATGTATCACATTGGGCAAATCTACTGTAAAAGACCTTTAAAATGATAATGAGCAAGTATATCACTCTGAGGACTAAGCTATAGTGTTTTCAATGGTTTCATATGCATGTGGAGTTAGACAATGGATAAAAGAGGCAGAAAGAATACTTGATGTATCTGAATGATGGTGTTAGAGAAAAATATTGAAATTAGCACGGACTGTCGGAAGAACACGTTAGTCTATCTTGGAAGAAGTGCAGTCAGAATGTTCCTTAGAAGGGAGGATAGTGAGACTTTGTCTCACATACTGAGGACATGTTATCAGGAGGGAGAAATCCCTTAAAAAGGACATCATGCTTGGTATAGTGGAAAGTTAGCAAGAAAATAAGTAAACAAAAAAGGAAGACTATGAGGTATAGAGGAAAGTTAGCAAGAAAACAGATAAATAAATAAATAAATAAATAAATAAATGAAAGGAAGACCATGCAAGAGCTGATTGACATAGTGACCAAAGCAATGACCTCAAACATAACAATCGTGAGAATGGGGTAGGTCAATTTCCTGTCCCCTTTTACGTAGGGTCACTATGAGTTGGAGCCTACTGGGGGGCACCTGCTATTGGATAAGCATCAAGAGACAAATCACATGGATGGTGATTCTAACCCACCAGCTGTTCTTTGGGAGAAATATGGAGGTGTCTGTTCCAGTAAAAAATTACAGGTTCAGAAACCCTGTATAAACTCCCTATACTTTCGAATCAACTCCATAGCAGTGGGTTTTAATACTGTTGTGGATATTCTCCTCAAAAGTCCCTGTGGTGAGATAATTTGCAGCTAATGACTTTGAGAGAAAAAAGATAAAAAACAATGATGAGGCAAATGAGCATGTAAAGTACCTCCAAAATTCTCTAAGTTAACAAAACAGCTGGTCACTAAATGGAATTTCCGGTCTTTATTTATTTGGGTTAACGGTCATAGTAGGTGCTACACAATTTCCACAGTTCTTATTCTATGAACATTAGAAACTCCGTGTTCTTTTATTCCTATAACTCAGTGAAACATGCAGAACTTCATGTTATTTCTTTTGGATAATCTGCACTCTGATAGGCATTTTCCTTCTGTGTCACATCTTTGAGTCATTATCATTTTATGATTTACTCATTGGCTGTTTACTAGCTCGACCTTACTGCGAGTGCATTTTGTCTACTCAAGGGGCACTTCTGTGTACTCAGGGTTGCTTCTCCACCCAACACACCCAGCCCAGTCCAATACGCAAAGGCTACACAAAACTCTAAGATGTCATCATGCTCTTAGAGGTCCCACCGCCCTTTCCTCCGGTCTGGTTGGTTTCTTATTAGACTGCAGACTTTTCCTTTACACGGGTTCTGTTCTCCTTCACAAAGTTGTATCACAAGCAAATCACATTGAGTCCTGTCATCTCTTTATCTCGCTTTCTTCCCCAGTAAAAAAATGATTTAAAATATAAAGAAACTTGAATTTCCCCGTGTGTAATGCAATTATGTAGAAGGAAATTACACAGAGAATAATCCCAAAAGGGGATTTCCTCTTACATGAGGGATTACTATGGTAGTGAATCACGTCCTTTTAGGAGCAATAAGAACCTGACATATTGGTGGTATTCCACTGTAAGTCTATCTGCACAGAGAAGTGACAGTGGGCATGCTGAAATAGGTATTTCAACTTTTATTGGTGACATCCTACACTAATAATTGGCATTCTGTTCTGTTGTTGTGATCTTTTAATCTACATAAACAGAGATGTTGTAAACCAAAGTGGATGATATTTTCACCAAAGCAGTGATACACCAAAACAAAGGATTGTGTGAACACCTCTAAGGATGGAGGTGTTACTTTGGAGAGAAAGGCCATGGTGGGTCACTCAGCTGCTAACTGAATGTAAAACAAACAAGTAGAAACAACTAAGTGTCTCCTTGAGTTGAGGGAAGAGATTCAACTTGTTATTTGGATGACGGTATGTCTTTACACACACAGAATTCACGCTGCAGTCAGGAACATGGCACAGTAAGATCCTGAAAATGCCAAGAAATATAGGTGATAACCACAAAAGATATATACACCAAGAATCAGCCATTGAGAAGGGGGCAGGAAGAATATGGTGAGAAATATATTAAAAGGGTAAGCTACTTAGGGGACCAGAGCAGGTGAACGTACTTTCGGAAGCAATGGGCTGCCGTGAGGAGCCAGGTGTTACTGATGAGGCTGGCCCCGCACTGATGGCCCGCCCCTTTGAGCTGGAGGCTGGCTTGCCACGGCCACTCCCCATCGATCGCTGTTTCTCTGCCATGAACAATTCTTTCCATAGAAGAGGACGATGGTATTGGCATATTTGAATTTGTCATCCTTATCCCACAGCCTGTCAGAGAAATTCATATGAGCTTGTTTTTGTAAAGGAGAGAGAAGAAAGCATTATCTTGATTTGCTTGGGTGGAGATACTTAGGGTTTCAAACCATTGCCACCGCTAATCTTGAACACATTTCTGGCTCTCAGACTCCGAGGTTATTGCACAGGATCGTATTAACCCTGTGCATTTCAGCAGAACTGCATACTTATCGAAGTGTATGCTGAGCCTTGTAAATGGGAAAAGAACAGAATAAATTAATCTAAGTTTCAATTCTTGATTTCCGAGGTGGATGTGTCAGCCCTCAAGGTAGAGAGGCTACAAAGACTTCACACATCGTCTACTGAGAAAAACTGACTCTATATTTATATTTTCAATTCCAAAAATGAATAACTAAGTAATATAAAACCCAACACTTTAGTCAGATGTTTATGAAAGGGTGCCTGGGAGGCAAATATATTCCTAAAGATTAGTTTTTACAGAACAGCAATTTTAGAAAACATGTACAAAGATGTGCATGAAAAAGATGTGCAAAAAACATGGCCTCAATGTAATGGAAACAGCAAACTACAACCTAAAAATGCTATGATAAGAATGCATACAAGTGTTTTTATGTTATTGGATTAAACTAGAATGTGAAAAAAATAAAAATAATGAACTTTCATTGACTCTATGATAGGCCCAGTGATCCATAGCTCTAGAGGGTTTTTAGACTGTGAATCTTTGCCATACCTTCCTTCCATGGAGCTATGAGTGGATTCAAACAATGGACCTTTCACTTAGCAGCTGATCACTTAAGCACTGTATCACCAGAACGCCTTATGGAATGCTATACTGTTGTTAGGTGCCCTCAAGACAGTACTTAGGCAACAACCCTAAGTATAAAAGAAGAAAACAATTTCCAGTCTTATACCATCCTCACAATAGTTTGAGTCTCTTGTTGCCAGCGACTGTGTCAACCCGTCTCTTGGAAGGTCTTATTTTGTTGTTGTTTTTGTTGATCCTTTGCTTTGCCAAACCAGGGACTTCTCTTTCCTGATAGCAAAGGATGTGAGACAAAGAAGCATTCTGACTATACTTCTTCCAAGACAGATTTGTTCTTCTGGCTGTTCCTCATATTTTCAATATTCTTTGATAACATCTTACTTCAAACACATGAATTCTTTTTTGGCCTTCCTTATTTGTTTTCTAGCTTTCACATGCACGGGAGACTATTGAAAAGACTGTGGCTTGGGTTGGGTGCACCTTAGACCTCAAAGTGACATTTTAGCCTCTTTTACATTTTAAAGAGGTCTTTTGAAGCTGATTCACCCAATGCAGTAAGCCATGTGATTTCTTGTCTGCTGTTTCCTTGAACTTGACTGTGGATCAAAGTAAAATGAAATCCTTAACAACTTCAATCTTTTCTCCATTTATCATAATGGTATTTGCTGGACTAGTTACAGAATGTCAGGTGGTTAGATGTCATCAAGGCAATTCTAACTCATAGCGACCCTGAGTGGAACAGAATGAAGTGTCTCCTTGGCCCTGCACTAGCCTCACAATTGTTGTTATGTTTGGGTCCATTGTTGCAGCCACTGTCAACCTGTCTTGTCAAGGGTCTTCCTCTTTGTCACTGCCCTTCTACTTTCCCAGCATAATGTCCTTCTCCAGGGATTAATCTGTCCTGATAATGTGTCCAAAATACCTGAGACAACTTCTTCTGCCCCTCCCTTCTAGGAGCACTCTGACTGTCCTTCCTGCACAATAAACCTGTCCATCCCTTTGGCAGCCCACTGCACTCTCAATATTACTCATCGGAGCTACCATTCAAATGTATAGACTCTTTCTTTCTTCCTTATTCAATGTCCAACTTTCACAGGCATATGAAGGGACTAACAATACCATTGCTTGGATCAGATCCACCTTAATCTGCAAAATGACTTCCTTGCTCTTAAACACTCTTATAAGATCTTGTGAGCATTGATTATAGATCCAAACAAGATGAAATCCCTGAAAACTTTAATCTTTTCTCCATTTGTTGTGATGTGACCTATTTTCTCATTGGTGAGGATTTTGCTTTCCTTTACAATGAGTTATTGACCCTCATCAGCAACTGCTTCAACCCCTCCTTAAGGTCATATCATATGCTTAACTCAGAATATTAATAAGCCTTCCTCCAATCTTGAAGCCAACTTCTTCATACAGTCCAGCTTCTTTGTTCGGTATACAGTTTGAATAAATATGGTGAGAAAATAAAACCCTGATACACATCTTTCATGATTTTAAACCATGTAGTAGTCCCTTGCTCTGTTTAAATGACTGCCTCTTGATCCATGTACAGATTCCAAATGAGTACAATGAAGTGTTCTGGAATTCTGATTCTTCTCAAGGCTGTGCATGGTTTGATATGATCCACACTGTTGAATTTCTTTGCCTAGTCAATAAAACATAAGTATTCTCTTGTTCTAATTCCTCTTCTGAATTCATCCTGAATGTCTGTCAGCTCCCTGTCAATGTACTGCTACAACTGTTGTTGAATGATCTTCCCAACATTTTGCTTGCATGAGAAATTAATGATATAATAAAGAAAGGCACCACCTTTCTTTTGAATAGTTACAAATATGAATCTTTTCCAATCAGTTGGCCCAGTAGATTACTTCTAGATTTCTTGCAATTGTTGATGGATGATCTCCAGCAAAGTTTTACTTGCATGTGATATCAATGATATTCTGTAATTGGAGCATTCTGTTGGGTCACCTTTCTTTGGAAAGGGGACAAATATGAATCACTTCCAATGAATTGGCCATGTACTTGTCTTCCAAATTTCTGTAATAGACAAGTAAGTACTTTCAGAACTTCATCAGCTTGCTGAAACATTGTTTTTAGCTAATGCTTTTAGGCCAGCTTGAGAGTCTTCCTTCAGCACCATTGGTTCTTGAAATGATTGACGGCTGACTAGTCCGTTTTAGTACTATGAATCTGCGTATTCTTTCCATCAAGTGATGCTGCCTGCATCATTCAAGATTTTGCCCATAGAATCTTTCATTATCACAATTAGAGGCTTGGAGTTTTTAGTGGCCAATTCCTCAAAATTGGACAACCTATTTTTTCTTTGTTGTCTGTCCTTAGTCTAGAAGCTCTGCTAAAACTTTCCCCTTGAGTGAACTTGCTGGCATTTGAAGTATCAGTGACATAGCGTCCAGCATCATAGCAGCATTCAACCACAGTGCAACAAATTGGCTGGCCAGTGGTCCGCAGAATGCCATTATGGAGATAAAATGCACATGGCATGGAAGGACAAAATAGAAAAAGTGATATGTCACGGAATAGAGATAAGTGTTCTGGACGGTGTGAGATATGACAAAATTGTAATAATTTATAAATTATCAAGGGTCCATGAGAGAGGTGGGGCGGGAAGGGAGGGGAAAAAATGAGGAGCTGATACCAAGGGCTCAAGTAGAAAGAAAATATTTTGAGAATGATGATGGCAGCAAATGTACAAATGTGCTTGACACAATGGATGGATGTATGGATTGTGTTAAGAGTTATACGAGCCCCCAAT